AACTAGCAATATTTAAACATAAAAGGGACAGAGAGCCACTAGGGATGCATCAGTTGGTGGGAACCAGCCTAATTACACCAATTTAATTGAAATGCTCCCAAATTCACCTCTTTGAAAAAAAAAATAAAGTATTAAAGGTAATGGGTGCTGTATCCCTTAATCTCAGTGGAGTATTTGATGTAACACTTAAACATTAAGCTTTAGGAATCTTAATTTATTATTACAAAATCATACATACCTTCTATCTCACCTTACACATTTGAGTTTAAGAAACTGACTGACAGCATCCAGTACTCTCAACTATTCAGGAAGTTGATTATTCTTGCTTTAGGAAATGCAGAGAAAGAGGAATTAATCAATATTTACCTTGATAAATGTCTGGCCACCTGAATTTGGGCTAACAACTGATGATCCTGACAGTGATAGTGTAGAAATGGCAGCCCTCACAGAACATCTTTGGTTTGAGCTTTCACCAATCACCCCATTTAGGTCCCACTGTTATTCACACCAAGAATTCTGGCCTTTTACCAAATCAGCATTTATTTGCAGCAATCTAACACAATGTTAATTGCTCACTCATTGAAACCTGGCTGGCGTTTCCCCCACTGGTTGGGATTTGGCAAGGCAGGCTCCATCCTCATCTCCCCGTGCCAGCTGCTCTCCTATCAGCCAATTCCCACCCACCCTACATTCCTGCTTTTCTCTGCTCTCCCCTTTTTTAATTTAGGCATAATTGTGTGGTTGGGTGAGCTAAGATGGTGATTTTTTGCCACATCCAAAGACAAGGTTGCAAGGGTGGTAGATTTTCATTCATTGCCTGCCCCAGGAGTGGCATGAAAAACTGCACAAAGCAGCCTCTTGTTGGAGAGGAAAGGCAGAGTTTTGAGACAAAATTTTCACCATTTCCAATGAGAGATCTTGCCAAAAAAATCCTGGTTTGGGACTGTGTGGGCCGCCACAGCTGGAGGGGTGATGAAGGACCCCGACTTATCAAAAGCTGCCTTAATTACAGCAGGACAAATCTTGCAGGAGGTGTGCCAGCAAGTATTGCAAAACTTTAATTTGTTTTTTGAGCACTTTGATTTGTTTGGATGAAGAGCAGTGCACAGGGATCCTGCTATTAGGCAGAGTTTGTTGGTATGTGGCAGAAGTGTGGAGCCCAGAACTGGGATAAAGCCCAGTTTTGGTAAAACTTGATGCCCACTGCCCATCCAAGGCAGTGGAATGGTCCCTTGTCCCCAGCACACACAACTGGGGTGGCCAGTGGCAACCAAACAACTCGTCTGATTTCTCCAGGTGCTCTGCCCAGGCAGTGAAAGGATCAGAAAGAGCTTTTATCCTAAATATTCTTGAGCCTCTCTGTCAATGGAGGTCAGAGAAAGTTTTGTTGCTGTGCCTTCGATTGGGTTTTTTTTTAACCTCCCAAAAATGAGAAACTTTTGATTTAGGAGAATGTGACAGTGTTCACAGGGGTTTTAGGATAAGGGAAGAGACAAGGATCTGACTCCATGTTTCAGAAGGCTGATTTATTATTTTATGATATAGATTACATTAAAACTATACTAAAAGAATAAAAGAAAGGATTTCATCAGAAGGTTAGCTGAGAATAGAACAATAAAGAATGATAACAAAGGCTTGTGTGTCTGACAGAGAGTCCAAGCCAGCTGGGCTGTGATTGGCCATTAATTAGAAACAACCACATGAGCCCAATCCCAGATGCACCTGTTGCATTCCACAGCAGCAGATAATCAATGTTTATATTTTGTTCCTGAGGCCTCTGAGCTTCTGAGGAGGAAAAATCTTAAGGAAAAGATTTTCCATAAAAGAAGCCTGCAACAGGAGAAGACAATCTAAAAATGCAAAATACCAACTCCCAAAGAATTGGCCCATTGTTTTATGACAAAGAAGTAAAAGAAGTCAGGTGAGATGAACATCACGGGAAGAAGATCCATGAAATGAGTGAGTGGATGCTAGATTTAAAAAAAATAACGTCAGTTTTGAGGCTTTAGACAGCTAGAAATTTCTCTCATGGAGCCCAGCACTTGCTTTTTGAGAATTATGCCTTTTCCCTGTCAGAAGTCACTCCCTGGTTCTGAAGATGTCCTAAGTGAACTGTGATACATACAGAATCACAGAATCACAAAATATTCAGGTATCCCCAGGTGATGTTTCTCACTTAGCTTTGACTGAGGCAAAGCTTCCTGCATGCGTGACTCTACCTAAAGCTTACAAGAGGCAATTTTGAAAAAAAGACAATAAAAACCAGAAGAGAAGCGCCTTGTGCACATCCCCCTTTAGTCTGAACACTGAAAGTTTGACAGTTTAAACACTGAGTTGGACTCAATGATCCTGATGGGTTTCTTCCAACTAAGAATATTTTGTGATTCTGTATGAAGTGTGGTTGTAACTTTGGGCATCAAAGCAAACTCCTTTTGCAGACAAGGTGACTTATAACTCATTAAAGTAGAATTTTTCCATCACTTTACCTACTGTACAGCAGCTTAGCAATTAGTTTACAGTAGTTTATCTTTGTTCTCAGAAAGAAACAATTCTCTTCAAAGTGTTGTTCTTGCCTGTGGCAGATGACAACAAGAAAACAGCACATGCAATAATCTCTGGTAACCATCTGTCTCATGATAATTCCAAGATATTTTATGAACAAAAGAAAAGATAAATTGCCATTAGTGTTGCACCTTCAAACATCTGGACTAATTAAATTCACAATGCTTTTGATTTTAAATGTTAATTTTAATCAGAGAGGGGCCTGGAGAACCGAATGTTTTCCAGGCTTCAAAATTCCCAATATCACCCCATCACTTACAGCTTCTTCATTCTCTGTTGGTGTGACATGAAGGGACAGTGCACAAAATGTCCCACAGCAGGCTGGCCTAGAGGAGAATCTGAGCCCATATCCTGCAGTGGAATGGGCTGGACTGCAGCTTCAAAGAGAAAATGCTTCCCCTGGAGGAATAAAGCAAAATTGGAGTTGGGTGAACCTCAAAGGAGTTGCAGGCTCACAAGCCATTGCTTATGTTTGGGTTTGGAATTGGAATTGAGTCTGGTGGCTCAGATCCTCACCACAGACAGTGAGTGGTACCAGCTACAGAGAGAAAGAGGCTCGAGGGAAGGAGGCTGAAATGGGGAATAAAATTTTTGCAGAAATTAATGTGCATGATAATACGATTGTAAACCTATTTGCATTTTATTTGCTATTTGTTTTTCTAATGTAACAAAATCTCCCTCTTAGCCTTTCATGTGCCCTCTTGAATTATTCATTTTGGCAGTTGCTTTCCCCTCACCATTCTCACATGTCTCTTTTCCTTTATTTCTTTTTTTTCCCCTCTCAAATTTCACTTCAAACTATTTCCTACTTGGGAGGTCCTACATTTCTGAAGGAAGTGAGGCTTGCGCCAAGTCTTGAGTATTCTTTCCCTGCTTCCAGTGACTGGCTAGTGAGAACAAAAGCTGAAAATCTTGTTTTCCATCATTGCTACTTATTCCCCCAAGGACATTGCCCAAGCAGTGAAACAGCAGGGGACAAGTCTGCTGGCAGGAAAATCTGTTTGGTTTGATCCAATATGGAAAAATTTTGTAGAAGAACCAGGCACAAAAATCTGGTGATCTTTGTCACTCTGCACCTGTCTGGGCTACTTTTGTGGGACAGTTATTCATCACTATACTAGACGACATACAAACATAAAGTCTCCTGCAATGTTTTTAAAAGAGATTTTTCCCCCTCACCAGTTTCTCCCAGTCATTCCTAAATGGTCTGTTTACTTTGTGAATTTTGGAAAATTTGTTATTTCTCTGCTGGCAGAGTGGCAGCAGGGACATTGTGTTATTAAGCAGAATTTTCTCCTAGAGGTCGAGTTGCACCTCACAAAAATCTCTCAGAATTCTGTCAGTACAAAAAGTACAAAAAGACCTAACTGAAAGAATATGTCTATTCCATGAGCCTTGCAAGATCAGTTTGAATAAAATTTATTGGGTTTTTTGTCATGATTTTTTCTAAAATTCAATTACCCTTTGGAACAAGCACTGAAGTCACAGCAGTGCAAATGACGACAATATCTTTGAAGGGATAAAACAACATAAATAGGGCCCAAGTAGTGAGCGCACTCAGAGCATGACAGTGCCAGCAACAAGGAAATATTTGCACTGGACAGAAGTGAAAGATATGTGATACAAAGCAGCAAAATAAATTAGGTTATGGAGTAAAGTTATTAAATCATATGGAATAAGGAGACATGAGCAGTGAGACCTCATGCCCATGAGCCCAAGAAACAACCTTCAACCAAACATTGCCTCTGTAGGGAAATGTATTTCCACACCAGAAATGCACAGATTTTGGTAGCCAGCCTTATTGCACGTTTCACTTTCAGTGTCCTCATGAATGCACAAAATGCTAAATGTGCAGGTAAATGGCACAACCACAAATTTGGAATACCTGTAACCTTTGGAATACCTGTAACACCTGCAGCAGTGAGAGCCCTCAGCTCTGGTTATTCTGAGCAGGTGAAAACACTGTGTTTTCCATTATTATATATTTATATTACTATATTCTAAACCAGGCCAAGCCACTCGGCAGGACAGCTGTGGCCTCCAGATCTCAACGAATTGATTCTCACATCTCTGCAAGCCCCTCCAAGGCCTGGAGGGTGGAGGGACCTCCATCTCTGGGTCAGGCAGCAATTTCATTTTCCCTGTGTCCTGGGTTGACTATATGATGCTTTCATCCCAAATCATCTCATTCTGTTTATGTTGAATAATAAGTTTTGTACCTTTAAGAGTGTTCCAGAGAGTGAAGGGGGGGGAGAGAAGAAGTGCACAGTTTGTTTTCAGACATTGCACTCCTCCTCCACATTCCTGCTCCTGGACTGTGCTGTCTGCGGATGGACAGACAGCGAGACAGAGCTCTTCTTTTGCTTTTTAGTTAGTTTTAGCTAGCTGAGGCAAAGAAGTTCCCTGGACTGTTTTTTTTTTTTTTTTTTTCCTTTTCTTTGGACCTCTTGAAACTGCTCTGGACTGAACACCCAGGAGAGCACCAGCAGCTGCCGCTGTGGCCTACCGAGCCAGGCCTGGCCTGCAACAATTCCAGCACTGAGAGACTGATCAGAGACTGAGTGAGCTGAGCTTCAACCTGGGGTTTTCTCAGTTTGTCATCTCTTTTAGAGTGGCAAAGGGTCCTATTGTTTGATATTGTTTTGGTTTTATTGTTTAATAAACAGGTTTTTTCCACCTTTCCGCAGGGACATATTTTTCCCTCCCGGACCAGTTGGAGGGAGGGGCTGATTGGATCTGCTTTTCCCACCGGAGCTCCTTTGGGGGATTCTTCCCCAAATTTACTCTAAACCTGGACACCCTGTCACTGTTTGTGCTGTTACACCCTGCCTTGTGCTTTGTGAAGGTAGCACTGCCAGCAGAGAGTCTGGTTCTTCTTTCCTGCGTAATTTCCACCTGAGGTAAGGGTGTAAATTCTCCTGGACTTTCATGCACTTTCCTTTCAGCACTAGGCAAGGTAATTACAGCTTTCTCTTACTTTGCATTTTGTAATGAACAGATTTTTAATCTTGCTCCTCAACAAGCACACGTAAAATGCTGCCCAAATTTTCCTTTCTTGGGATTTACATACATTAACTCTTGTTCTGTAACAAACTTTGGGCTTCCACTTGCCCTGGTGGATCCCAGATTTTCCACCACCACCTCTTCCCAGCTTCCCCTGCCTTCCCATTCTCATGACACTCCCATGTATTATTTTGGGCTAAAAAGGCTTTTTTTTTATGCTGTGAAGAGCAGATAAGCCCTTGATAAGCATCATGTCCCATCTGATCAGGGTTCTAGAGCTGGGAAACCTCTGCAGGATGGATAATCCCAGTAATACCAGGTGATTTCTGTGTGCCTGTGGGACAGGGAGCTGGAGATGTGTCTGGAAGTTTTGTAAAACCAGTTTCAATGCCAGGAAAAGTGAGGAAGAGTTTAATACATCCTCTAAGAGAGTTGTTAAATTATTTGTGTTGGGTTGAAACAATTATTTGTGTTGCCTTGCTGCAGCAGCACTGACAGACAGGATGGCCAAGAACAGAATCTGAGGAGTATGAGGGGCTACAAGAACAGGGCATAAGAATGGGAAATTTCCTGTGCTGGGGAAACTGCCTGCATTTAAAAGGTACGTCTATCACTTACACAGATCTCTGAACATTTTGTAGCACATCCAGGTCATGGTAATTGACTCTGAGCTTCCTATTACAAAAGCCCCATTCCAGTCCCCTCTACGTTTTTTCAGATTACAAAAATACCCAAATCAAAACAGCAACAAAAACAAACAAAACCCCAAACAAACAAACAAAATACGACCCAAACCAAACCAAACCCAAACAAAATACCCCAAAATTTCATTTTCCTCATGAAAAGAAAGCCACTAGGCCAAGATACCCACACAGAGATGAAGCTCATCAGCTCTCAGCTCGCCAGGTTTAACATGAGTGGCAAGGGAATTGGGGCAAAAAAATGCAATGTGGAAACCTCCTTCCTCACATTCTTATTCTAGGCAGCATGATGAGACAGGAACCACATTTGTAAGCAAAAATCTGCATCACATAAACGTTTATTAACTTCTGGGGAGCACCTATTTTCAGGTTTAAGCTCACTACTGAAGCTCAGCTTTGGCTAATTAAGGATTTTCAGTTAATTTAGCTTGGGTAAAATCTAAGGTTTGAAGAATAAAGGGAATGCACAATACAGGCTAACCATAATTAAATGCTTCCATGGCTTCAGATGGGATTAATCTTTAATTTGAGCTAGAAATGCTGAATTAATGGGAGGCCTGTGAACTTGCTCTAAACTTCAGTGCTGTGTTTTCCTCTTGAACCTCCTTCTTCCAAAGCTTCCAAATGCTTCTCTAAACCCAGCACATGAATTCCAACCTGTCCTAAGTCAGGGGGTGAAAATCAGCCCAAGACAGATGCTGTGTCCTCTCCTCAGTAAGGTTTTAATGAAAACCTTAGAAAATAAGATATTTGTGTAAGGAAATTGGTGCCACATCCAGTCACTTCATGGCTGGAGCATTCCAGCTCTGAGGGAACACTGAGGGAAATGGAATAAGAAACTTAAAAACTGAGGAGGAGCAGTTTCTTTGTGTGGTTTTGTCCTGTGAGATTTCATTGTAGGGTGACTCCTCTGGCATTTCACACACAGTGACCTCTGCCCGTATTTCTCAATTTTTTCTAATCTTCAAAACAAAAGTAAAATCACAAAAGCAGAGTCAATGGAAGTAAGCAAATAATTCCAAAGCTGTAGTGATGCCAGAAGTAGCCTAGGTCTTCTATCTACAATTCTTTCTTCCCTTCGTGTGTAATAACTGCAAGTTTCAAACCTTTTGTCTCCAATACCTCCAAACCCTCCATTTGCCTAATCTAGTTATGAGGAAATAATAGGGGAAACCTTGTTTTCTGTTGTAATAAAACCAGATTCTGCCAAAAAAATCCAACCTTGGGCCTGATGAGCTAAGAACTTAGCTGAGGTAACTCCCTGCTCAGTGGATCTTGTGCTGTCCTGGATAGATTCCCAATATTGCCAAAAAACAATGAGTTGGGCCAAGCATCTTCCATTGTGTCATTTTAAATTTGTTTTGCAGCATATTTTACAGCATTTCTGTGCTGCCATGGCTCAGTTTTCACATTAAATGAACTTCCAGCATTCTAACTCACCCTAATTTGTCATCCCAAAGGCAAGAACATTGAGTCAGCAATGGGTAACTCATCCAGTGCTGTGGCACAAATAAAGTGACTCTTAATTCTACCTGTGCAGAGAATGGATTTCCAGAGCACTGCTGAGAGCCAGGCTTCTATAGGAGCAGTTTCAGCTCCTGTGTTTTTGTCACAGGTTTCTGTGGGTTCTAAACAGAAAAATCTCCATTTCCATTCTGAGGCTGATGTCATTAACGTCTGCTGCTCCATTTTTTTTTTTGCTATTATGAATTCCTACCAATCTCCTGTATGGGATTTCCAAGGCTTGTCAAGCAATTCTGAGACAGAATTTTGGATTCAGGGGTTTGAGAGCTGTGACCTCAGGCTATATGATTTAACACTGCTATTAATTTTTGAAAGGCAGGCATGTCAATTTTATTCGTTTCTTCACAATGGATTTTTCCTTCAGCTCTTATCCATCAGTTTGCAAAGCTGGAAATAAAGCACTGAAAAGCCAAAGAAAATACAAATGTTACATCATCACAGCATTAAGTTCCATTAAGTTCTTAATTACATCATTGTTCTTAAGTTCTTAATTACATCAAATAATTAAAGTTCTCCTGCTGTTCTCCTGTACTTTTCATCAGTAAATCTCAAAGCACTTTGTAAAGAAGGTAAGATCTTTATGGCACAGAACTGACATGTAGCAAAAGTAGGTTCAAATTCCCTTTTGTTCACTGCATTCTGGTTAATCCCTCTGAAAAATATTTTCCTGTATTTTAGAATTATTTAGAATACAAATATTTATTTTAGAATTATTTCCTCTGCTGAGAAATTGGGCCTGAGCTAATCTTCATTTCTGTAAAAAAAATTGTATAGATCACCTCAAAAATGAGTGCTGGGATATGCTTCTTGACACTTGTTTCTGTTGAAAATTTAACAAAATCTACTTATGTCTATGAAGATTTGAGGAAAACAAAGCTGTAAGCATTAAAAAAACTGCTATAATGAGCCAACAAGTGGTTGCTGCGTCCTGCTTGTACTTTTGCTTTTTGCAGTAGGTATATCTGCATCCAGGATTACTGCTGGAGCTGAAATCACTGTATAAAATTCACATCTCCTTCTGTGACAGAGCCACAATACATTTCTTATTGAAGTAAATGCAAAGCCTGGGATAGAATTAGGGAGGGCATTCCAGTGGTGCCAGTTCCCAGCTGTTCAGGGGCAATGTCTGAGGCTATATGTTGCTTTTCCTGCATTTTTTGTCCTGGTTGCACCCACCAGCAAGCAGCATGATTTCCATATTTCAGTTTATCTGCCTTAACCCTTCTCACATGCCTCCTGCAGTTCCTCCTAGCAGCAGCCCAATATATGTCCTGTGTCCTCTTCTCAGCAAGGTTTTAGTGAAAACCTTAGAAAAGAAGATATTTGTGTTTAGAAATTGGTGCCACATCCAGTCACTTCATGGTTGGAGCATTCCAGCTCGGAGGGAACACTGACGGAAATGGGATAAAAAACTTAAAAACTGAGGAGGAGCAGTTTCTCTGTGTGGTTTTGTCCTATGGGATTTTGTTGTAGGGTGACTCCTCTGGGTTTTCACATGCAGTTACCTCTGCCTGTATTTCTCAAATTTTTCTAATCTTCAAAACAAAAATTACTCAAAAAAGCAGAGGCAATGGAAGTAAGCAAATAATTCCGAAGCTGTAGTGATGTCAGAAGTAGCCTACTGCTCACAACAGGCAAAGGAAAAAAACATTTTTTTATTCAGAATTCATCCTTGCTTTTACCCAAACACAGGGAAGTTCACAATGCCACGGACAAAGCTATATCAGTACTTCCTGACAGAGCCAAGAATATTCATTCCTCAGCTGTAAATGTAAATAAATGCTGGGCAATCACAAATGAGCTTTTTCCTTGCTGGAAAGTAAATGCAGAAATTTCTCCAAGGTTCTGCAGGAACACGTGGCGAAACGCTGCAGTGAAAAAATTCAGAACCTGCAGCAGATGTAACGAAACCTCCCAGAGAGTTTTCAGCATTTTTAAATTAAAAAAGAAACATAAAAACATAAAAAAGCACTTTTATTTCCTATTAGATTCCCCCACCAAACTTTGTAGTTAATCTGTAAAAACCTCTTCTGCACACAAGGCAGGGAAAGGGAATGCTGCTGTTGTCCCGATCAAGACAGCACAAGGGCTCTCCCATCCAGGCTTTTAAAAATCTGGATTTTGTTTCTTCCAGAGCAGTCCAGGCACTGAGAAAAAAATCCTAAATTTACTTGAACAATCCTAAATTTACAGAAGTAAATCCTAAATTTACAGAGCAACTTGAAAAGATGCAGCACAAAGGGTAACTGGAAGATGCAATCGTCCAAGAGAGAAATAAGAGAAATAAGTTTTGATGCAGGAACATGTGAAAATGGTTATAATTTTGACAAGTTGCTGCAATTCTGCAGCAAAGGCGTTCTTCAGAACTTAATCTTTCTTCAGAAAGTTTTTTGTTGTTTGAAAGATATGGACAATGTAAATTTTTCTTTAGATGACCACACAATCTAATATGGACCAATGGTTTTGATTCAAGGCAGAGAAAAGAAGGAAGATTTTTGATCTAAATGGTGTTTCTATTTAAAGCAGTATTTCAATCAGAGCTTTGATTCCCAGCTAAATAAACGTGAAAGCTACAAGCAAATAGATTGTTATTTTTGACGTAAAACCAGAGACAATAAAGAGGAGCCCAAAGTAAAGTCCTGTCAATTTCCAGTAACACTACTTTATTATTCTTATTAAATGCATTTGCCTGGTTTGATAAGATATTTTGGACAGAGAAACTCATAAATCCATGTTAATATGAACTAACTTTATTTCTCATAATTTTTGGATACTGTTTCCTGCAATGTAATTATTGATTTTAACATTCATATATGTCCTGTTGTTTTCCTAATTGAATGTGATACTTATCCAGATTATAACTTATAATCAATCATAAATCATAATTATAGACAGTATTTCACAATTCTCTTTAAATTATTCTATTTTTAAAAGTCATATAATGGGTCATCCTTTTTTCCTAGAAAGTCAGATAGTCACACCTAGGAAATTGAGATCATACCTTAAGAATATATGCTGGAACCCAGATCTCAAGTTAAGAATATATGTTAAAAATACATGTGTAAGAATATGTTCAAAAAATACATATATTAGGAATATATGTTCAATTAACATATAAAAATTAACATTTTTAGTGCTTCTATCTGTGCATACAAACAAAATACTCTTTTTACACTGAGACATCTGCAGCTTGCATGGACACATATTTTTTTTCACCATTTTGTGAAAATATTGTAACATTAGCAGGGTTTTTTTCTAAAAGAACTGATGGCCAAATGGGACATAATTTACTTCTGAATTACATATCTCCTGTTTATGGTATTTTTCTGCATGCCAGAATGCTTAGAGGTGGGCTCTTCAGTTGACTTCTTTTTCTAATCATCATTACACTTGAATGAAATCCTTAATGCAATGCCAGGAAAAAAGAGAAGAAAATACATGGGTGATGCAAAAAAAGTAACCATGGTCTGAAAATCTGCAGAAATCTTCAGAAAACATTTGTGGCTGACCAAACACAAAATCACAGAAGAGAAATGAGAATGCTTAAATATGTACATTAAAAGTACAGGACATTATTTATGTGTGTCCATGTGGATAATGATGATATGGCCATAGTGATTTCCATATTTCAGTTGCTCAGGATCAGAAACAGAGGAAACATTTGCAGTGCCTGATGAGATACAAATATTCTTACACATTCTTAAAATAAATTTTCCAATAACCACCTCCTAATTTTTCTTTTTCCTTTTTCCTCATATATATTGGACAAGGATGAGCAAAACGTTGGCAGCTAAAGGAGTAAAGACCTAAAATGTGGCACAAGTGATATATTTGTTCCTGCCACCCTGTAATTGAAAAGCATACTGAAATAATTTGGGGATTTAAGCAGAAAAAGTACATGGAAAATCAGTATGCAAAAATTCACCCAAAGACCACGTAGTTCTACAGCTGGAGATATACATATGTATATATATATATATATATATATATATACATACACACACACACACACATATGCATGTATGTATATATATATATATATATATACACACGTATGTATATATATATGTATATATGTGTATATATATTTGTGTATATATATATGTGTGTGTATTTCTAGAATGAACTTTACAGAATTTCTGGATATATGTGAAAAAAAAAATCTTGCATGGTGAGCAGGATTTGATATTTAAAAACCCCAAAAAACCACATGTCCTTAAAAAGCCTGAGAAGTCCAAGCTTTAATTCAAAATATGTTCTGTGATGTAATGGAACCATTAAGGAAACCAGCCCTGGAGTCAACTAATTTCTTACCTCAGTGTTTTTATTAATGAGTATCAAGATTCTTATTCTGGGAGTTGAAAGTGTGTATTATTCACAGATTATTTTGAATGAGAAGCAATCAAATTAAAAATACCTTTAAAAATCCCAAAACTATTTTCTAAAAGAAATTTCCAGGTACAAATGTTTAGGACAAAAGATGTGATTAAAAAACTAAAAAAAAAAAAAAACCAAAAAACCACCAAAAAAAAAGAAACAAACTAAAACCACCCACAAAAATCCTGGTGTAGCCTATGTTATTCTGTGCTGTTCAAGCACAAAGAACATTCAAGTGTAAGGGGAATGATGTATGCCAAGTTTTATGTCTGCAAAAATATTTCTGAGAATTTTTTTTCTTATTTTCCCCCTATAATGCCCTTATCTGATGATACCAGAGAAAGATAACTTCTAAAGGTTACTTAATCCATTTTTATTACCTCTCATGTTTTCCTGTATAAAAATAATAATTTCTGGTTTCAATAGTTTTCTACTGATTTTACAATCATAACTATTAAATATTGCAGTGATTCTCTAAATGCTTTAAGATATAGAGGCATACACATGGAATTTAGAAGGCTGAAAGCCCAGAGATTATTTAAGGGATAGAATCCTGTCTCATTCTTAAGTAACACACTCTTAACCACATTTTGAACACGAGTACAGTTAAAAAGAAGTTGTGAGCCGCTGAAATAAACAGTTTTCATTCTGTATTTTTAATACAGCACTCTGCAATATTCTGCAATGGGATATTTTTCTCCCAGCTCCAAGAGGACTGAAAAAAAATAAGAATTTTTGTGAGTAACCATCCAGCTGGGGACTGTGCCATTTCATTTTCCTACTTGTTGTGTATACCCTGCAAAAAACCTGACAACCATTAGGTTACAAGAATTATTTTGCTACTTTAAAAATCAAGAAAAGATGATATTTCATTGCAATCATGGGCATTTACAAAGGTAATCTGAAACTGCAAATGTTTAGAAAATAAATACATATGCTAAGTGTTCATAAGGAAAAACAAATAAATAAATCAACATCTATTCAGGTCAAAAATCTCAAAGTCTTATCTTACTTCCATCTTTTTCCTTATCTATCCTCACAGCAGGAGGACATGTCCTAAAATCTTAAATCATGACAATCAAAGCAGGATAATTATTAATAATAATTCTTTACTAATAATGACTATTTGTTAAGAGTGTTATTATTTTGAAAGCTTTTAAACAATTCCAAGACATTAATAATTCTAGGAAGTGTGGGAATTGTATTGTTGCTACACTCTCACAGGTTGTGTGCTATTATTCCAAAAGCTCTGAAAGGATTAAATAATCCACAACTGCAGTTTGATTTTGATTTTTGGTTTGGGGTGTTTTGTTCATTTTTAATATGACACAGTGAGTTTTAAACTCCGGAAATTCGACCAGCTAAAAATTATTCAGTTTTATAACTGAATAATTACTGAATTACTGAATAATATCTTAATAACTGAAATTCACTTTAGGAACTTGATTTGTTAGGGGAATATAAATATACTCAAAAATCAAGCCACAGTGAACAGTTGCTTCACTTCAATTCAGGTAACCCCCTCAACTCATGAATGAAGACATTCTCTAAAGGTTTTAATTTCATGCTGGCCCCGAAGTCAACCTGAATTTGATAGAGATGCACATTTTTTGGTGCTTTAGCTGTGTTCAACAAAATCTTTTTTCTCCTTGGCTTTCCATCGGAATTGCAGGAGCCCATCTGGCACTGCCTGACAGCTTCGAGCTGTCTCTGTCACGAAAAGGTCTGGTTGCTCTTACAATGCTCTTAATTAATTTTAAAAAAATAATATATTTGACAGCAGCCACTCAACAATGGCAACTCCATGTTAATTAGTAAAATACCTATTCAATTTCAGACTATGACACAAGAAACCTCAACTCCTGGACCCCACCTTGCAGCTTCCAGACAAAAGTCACACAACACAAGAGAATTGCTTGAGCACTGCTGAGCTTTTACTTTTCCTTTCTGAAAGAGCATTCAGTTTCTCTCAATGCTGACTTCTTAAGTTAAAAGAAGCCTCCAAATTTTTTTCTAAGTAATTCAGGCCTGAATTGGCCTGATGTCTAGTCAAAGGTTGGACTTCGTGACCTTAGAGGTCTTTTCCAAACTAGATGTTTCTGTGATGATGATGATGAGGATGATGATGAGGAAAAAAATATAATAAATATAATATAATATAACATAACATAACATAACATAAACAGTGATGATGATGATGATGATGTAATGAAGACATTTACTGTTGAACTTGGGAATAGAATGTAATCTCTCTACAAGTACCATGCCTACAATACATAGGAGTAAGAAAAACCTCTCTTTGCTTGCCTGCCCACCTTTATCAGTGCTGCCAGCCAGACAGGGCTTCAGAAGATGTGCTGGCTGCCACTCTCACACTCTTCTTTCTGCAACACCTCTGCTCTCTCTGATAGCTGACAGCACCAGAGGCTGTGGGACATTTCAGGCCACCAGCAAGAAAATTCTCAACAAACCTCAATAATTGAGATTTACCAGGAACTGATTGCATAAACTATTAGAAATTCACGTTGAGCATCAGTCTTGAAATCTTGTTGAGATGCAAAAGACACCAGCAGCTAAACCATGAGGTTTAACCTTCATGCCAGAGTCCCTGCATCAGTTCCAGTGCATCTGAGATGCTCTGGGGAAGGGGAAAGCGATGCAGCCAAGGAAAGTGGAGGGCAGGTTTCTCTTGGCAGGGCTGCCCAGGGGAGAGTTTGGCCTCCGGATGCCTGAGGGATGCAGGAGAACATTCTGGGGCCTCCAGTGGGAGGTTTTGGTGACTCACGCAGCCCTGAGCACCCTCAGCAGTGCCCCTGTGCTGACTCAACCCTGACTCAGAGGGCAGAGACGCCTCTCTGAGTCACCACCAACACCAACAAATGTTTTCCTTTGAGTTCCCCAAATAGGATGTGCCCTGTGTGTGTGTGTGTGCCCATTTTTCCCCTGGGAAATCTGATATCAGACCTCAGCTGGAGTGGCACACCTCTTTAGAGAGGGGTTTTTCCTCAGGTAACCTTGCTCAGTGAAGAATTCCCTCTGGAGAAGCAGCTGGGTTGAGATCTTTCTCTTACACAGAGGAAATGTTGGCTGGTTTATTCTCAGCTAAAAGTTTAGAATGAAAAATTGCTTTTCTACAGGAAAGAAAAAAAAAAAAAGAATCTGTACTGAGCCCCAGAGGAAAGATGGTGAGAATATGGTTCTTTTGATATTGCCATCCATCTGGAGTAATACTTGTGAGATCTCATTTATCAGACTGTTTCCACAACACTCAAAATATATGATAGAGGTAACCACGATTTTTCTGTCTGTGCTTACAAACAATTGCATTTCCTCACATTTGAGAGACAATTATTACCTCTCCAAAATCACAGCCTTGCAGATTGTCCATAAATTTAACCTGGCAGTTTTCAAAGATTTATGTGTGCAGAAAACTTGAGTTGTGTGCACACACAGACACACATTCAACAATCCAAAATTACACACATACAAACACACACATATGTATATATATATAATATGAATAAAGCAGTGAACATAATTGCAAATTTAGTGTTCCTCAAATAAATGATAACACATAGCATTAAAGGAGGATAAAGGATAAAGACATAAATATAAAATGAGTATAAAGGTGAGAGAGAGTGTTTATACTTACACATACACGAGTATGAAGTTCAAAGGAAGAGCAAAGAGCCAAATAATATCACTGGCATGTAATTCAAAACACCTAAACTCATTCATTTAGTTATGCCAAAGCAAGAATTAGTAGTATGTGGACTTGTAATTTGAAAGGACTAATTCATGGTAGGTAATAACAGTTTATAAATAACTTGAAATAAACTTATAAACCTTGCATTATATAACTTTAGGTTGTACAGGTGATGTGGTCAGGAAAAAAACCCTTCCTAATCTGAAGACTGAAAGAATGTGGAAGTTATTAATTGTAAAAATGAAAAAAAAAGAAGCCCCATGGATGTGTGAAAGACAAAAGCAAGGACTCAGTCTTTCTGCAGGTTTTCAGAACATTGGGCAAAATTCAACATTTATGAAGAAACCCTTGGAACTACCCAAATCTGACTCAGTCTTCACACTGACAACTGCAAGTTCTTGGCCCAAGGATGTTCTGAATCATCCCCAGACATTGTTTTTTCTCATCCCCATAAATAACCCAGTCAAACAACAGCAAGTAAAACCTGGTGAGTGGGAGCAGTAACTGGTGATGCTGCTCACATGACCGAGCAGAAAACACCCCAAAAATTGGCTCCTCCAGTTTTCTCTGTTTAGCAGAGCACCACCCTGAGCTGCTGGATGAGATTCTGGCTCCATTACAGCCACAGGGCAGTGACACAGACTGTGTCCTCCTCCTCTGTGTCTCCAGCCTGGAAGTTTGAGAGTTCCTGCCATTCCCAGGATTGAGCCTGAAGGTCAGTGGACCTGGAGAGAAACGGCAAAAGAAACAATTCCAGTGCACAAGGGGGAAATCCAGGGGCAGGAAAGCTTTGCAGGAAGCTGGGAAGGGCAGGGCACATCCCTTGTGCATGGAGAAGCCTGGTGGGAAAACAGAGGGATGTGATGGTGTTCACAGGAGTCCCAGGATGAGGGAAGAGATGAGGATCTGACTCCATGTTACAGAAGGCTGATTTATTATTTTATGATATATATTACATTAAAACTATGCTAAAAGATTAGAAGAAAGGATTTCATCAGAAGGCTGATTTATTATTTTATGATATATATTACATTAAAACTATACTAAAAGAATAGAAGAGAAGGTTTCATCAGAAGGCTAGCTAAGAATAGAATAGGAAAGAATGATAACAAAGGTTTGTGGATAGGGGGTCTGTGTCTGAGCCAGCTGACTGTGATTGGCCATTAATTAGAAACAACAACATGAGCCCAATCACAGATGCACCTGTTGCATTCCACAGCAGCAGATAATCATTGTTTACATTTTGTTCCTGAGGCCTCTGAGCTTCTCAGGAGGAAAAATCCTAACGAAAAGGATTTTCCATAAAAGATGTGTGTGACAGAGGGATGTGAAGATCAGTGCCTGATGCTGTGCTGGCTGCTCCCAGGTACCACCAGCAATCAGCCCAGCAGCTCTCCTGGACCAAAACTGCTTTCCTGGGCCACTTCCAGGAGGAATTGGATGCCATAGGAGGTGACTCCACAGCTCTCTTCCCTCTGGAGCTGTCAGGCACCTTGCAGCAGGGCCTACCACAGGAGATGTTAAATCATTTGTGGTCAATTAGCAGCCCTGTGCCTCTTGCAGCCTGCAGCTCTGGCTGGGCTCCAGCAGCTGTCATTCCCACACCTAGCGCCTGCCCTAAAGACTTTTCCCTTTATTTTCTGTCTCATTTCTGTGTCCTGAAGCCTTCACTGCCCCGGAGACTCCAGCCACAGATGTAAATGCAAGGGGGTTAGTCATGATTTATGCCAGGAGCACAAAAACCCTGCTGTAAGCACAGCTACACCCAGGAGAAATGGAGAATTGAGCCACAATACCAGCAGGGCTCTTTGCAATTCCACAGCTGCTGGGGTGGGATGGGAGATGGGGATGGGTTTTCCTTCCCACATATCCCTGAATAAATGAATGAGACAGTTCTGGAGTCAGAGCGGCTCCAGCTCCTTGTGGATGGAGGGGGGAGAAGGAATCCCACAAATAAATCACTGTCCCTGAGCTCGGGTTTGGAGCCCATCCCAGATGTGATTCAGAAAATGTGAGAGTCTTCTGCAAAGTTGCTTATTTCCTGGATGCTTCAGGTCCCTGGAGCAGTAAAACACAGCAGGTAGAAGGGTGGAAAAGCTGTAAAGAGAGGTTTTAAAGGAATATCAGAGTTGTATAGTGGAAAATAGAAAGAAAGCACTCAGTAGAT